TCATAGAACTGAAAATCCATTGGCAGTAAAAAATTAAACAGAAAGATTGTTTATGAGAGACATCTGAATTTTGGAGACTCATCACTTGTAAAGAAAGAAATGCGCTGGGATTGTAAATTGTAGGCTAGTTTTCTTTGCTTTATGTCTAAGAGCATCTAGACAATAATGAGGACCCTAAGAGAGACATACATGCATCTAATCTATGTGGTAAGTAGAAAAGGACAAGATCTCCTGAATAAATTAGGAGCATGGGGACCATGGGAGAGGGTTGGAGGGGAGGGAAGAGGAAGAGAAGGAAGCAGAGAAAATGTATAGCTCAATAAAATAAGTAAAAAAAGAAAAGAATATTCTCAAGATAAAAAATATATATTATATGTCCATGTTTGTGTGTGTGTGTGTGTGAATGTGTGTGTGTGTTACATGTTTGTGTGTGTGTGTGTGTGTGAATGTGTGTGTGTGTGTGCCATGGTAAATATAGAGGCATTTTCAACCTCCCCCAAAAGAAGGAAATGCTAATGGTTGGCTACACCTTGAAACATTCACAGAAATGAAGAGAAAGGCATTTTGCTGCTTGATTGTGCCATGATGGTTCCCCAGCAAATGCATAGGACCAGACTGAATTAGAAGTGGCACTCTCCCCAGGCTCTCAGGCACACACCAAACAAATACCACCACCCCCATGCTGTCTACAACATCCCCAGATGGATCTCAAAGGTTTCCAAAGAAATTTTACTAAGAAAGACAAGTAAATGAAACAGGGCCTCAAAAGATGTTCTCTGGAGAATGAAATACAATCAAAGGTGATGCTTGCAGCATTCAGAATTCTGAACTATTATTCTGTAATTGAAGCAAAATTTACGTGAACTAAACAAGGATCCTTGCATACTGGTGCTGAGCCAAACAGCTGGTCGAGAGTAGAGAACAAGCAGAATGACTTTTCTGAAAGATTTTCTTTATTCATGTCAGAGACTGGCTTTTTTTTTTTTAAATAAAATAATAGGTAAGAGAAGTCATTAACAGAAATCTCATTTGTATACAAGTTCTGCCAAATCATATTTCATGATTTTATTAATATAGAACACCACATCTATTTTCTTATTATCCTAAAAATTTGTTTACATTTGGTTTAATAACATTGAAGTATTTTGAAATAAACTTATTTCAGATAGTTGATAAGTCTAAAAGGCTAATGCTAATATTTGTCTTTTATTTTGTCATTTTTTGATATCCATTTTTGATAAAGTTTTGTACCATGTGTAGAAGATACATCTAACTTTCCGAAATGAAAAATGGAGTAAATAACTGTAGCAATTTCAAGCTTTTAAACTTTCCAACTCTTCTAATTACGTGAGAGATGTTGGCCAAAGTGTACTAGGAGAATGAAATCATTGTAGTGGATCATGTCAATTACTTAATGGGAAAATGAAAAGAAAAGAAATGTTAAAACTAATTATAGCATATTCAAAGTATCAAGATTAATTTCATTTCATGAAACATTGCATCAGTAGATATTGAGTATGAAATAAGATGTTTTCTTACTATGCTCTAACCCAAACCATTTGGAACACACAAACCATTGGGTCCACATAACCTAGAGCTCTTACTATGGAAGATAAAATGAAAAGATTCCCCATAGGGAACAGATGTTGCTCCAAAGGCTTGGTTAGCAGACCCTCATTTTTATTATTTGTTCCTAAAATCAGAGCACAAACATGCATCCACATGTCAGTGAATACTGTGTTCATTTCTTTAAAAAAATACAGTGGAAAGATTTTCTAAAATTGACTTTGAAACTTAGAAAATATTTCCATGGAAAGATAACTCAGTCTGAAAATTTGAGGTCACTCAGAGTTTGCTTAAATTAACACATTGAGCATTTTGCCAAGAACTACAATGAACAAAGAAGAGTCATCATGACTTGGAGGAAACGGTGTTAGGAGAATGGGAGCCATGTAGATTATTATCCTATTTGTTGTAAGAGTTACTTTAAATCAATACTCTATGACTGTATTGTAAAAGACAGAACAAAGGGAGTATAAATCACATGGATATATTCACTCTTACCATGGACTATATTATTAACTAAAATCAGAAAAAGTTACAATCATTCAACAACAACATATGAGAAACTGTGAATTGATCTCAGTGCCTTGTTCTGTATGTGTCCAACGAAATGCTATTGGTATTGTATTTAAAAAATGTTTGCAACCAAAGGTATTTTGAAAATGAAGCACAAAGAATTGATATTCTCACATTGGTAATGGCAGAAGTAATGTAGTACATGTGTAGTACCTTTGTTAAACCAAAGAGCAGGACTTAGGGTTCCCTTCTCAGTATTCCTGCATATGGTAAGTGATTTGTTCACTTGACTGAATTTAGTAAGATGCTGATGAAATTGTATTTTGTGAAACTCATCTGTAAAAACAAGATTCAACATTTTAAGTTTTAAAATTATTTTCTTCTAGATTTTTAAATATGTGTGTTTATATGTAATGTTTTCTTCTATGTAAATTTGTATGTGAGAGTTCACATTCATGTATATATATGTGGAGTCTATAGGTCAATTTTAGATGTAATCTTTAATTATACTCTATCTAATATTTTGAAAAAAAATATCTGCCACTGTACCAGAAGTTTGCCAATTGGCCACATTGGTGGGCCAGCCAATCCTAAGTATCCCCTTCTTCTATCATTAAGGGCACAACCACCATCAAACCTAGCTTTTGTATGAGTACTTGGAATCTAATATCATTTCTCCATGTTTTCATGGCAGGCATTTTACCATTAGCTGGATGCAAAGTGTTTTTAATGGCAATCTTTTCGTTTATAGGCACTCATTTTTCTAAAATGTTTGTAACGCAATATGGCCTTCATTCTTAGTACTTGTGGAGGGAAAGTACATGTTTGAAACATTACATGGAGCTAAGAGTCAGGCTTTAAAATAATCAGATATCATCTCAGTTTCCTTCAAGTTATACAATTTTTTGTCTAAATTGGCAAATATTCTAAAGTCCATTTTTCAGTCTTTAAGGAAAACATTTAAGGTTAATTGGCTGAATTTAGTTTTTGTTCTGCGGATGGATATTTTTTACACACTGTTTTAGTTTGATTCTTTTGTTGGTTCTTTGTCTTCTAATATTGTTTAAGTTATATAACATCTAGTAGACTCAAGTTAGACCAAATCAAACAAACAAGTTTAGTAATTGCTGTGTTGAAGATACTATTACTTCAAACACAATTATTTGGTTACATGGAAGCATATGAGCAAGTTAGTTTGCTTAGATAACGTCATGAGGGAGGACTACATACTAACACCTTTTTGTGCTTAGCTATTAGAAAAGAACCTTTAATCCTCACAGTAGATGCTTTTCAACTGTATAAATCATTTATGTATATTTGTTTTATCTTATTCTGGGTCTCTTGATATATTTTGTTTACTCTGAATCTCCCCAGCTGAGCTTACCAGAAGAAAAGGTGATTAAAAAAATTGGTTTATTAGTCATTTTAACTTCCCATGCAGGATAATTTAAAAAAAAAATCAGAATATAGACAGGGGTGTCCTGGCATTTCAATAATCCACATACAGCCCTTCAGAATAGCAATGCAGTGACGTACACAGAGTATGACATTACAGATGCACTGAACATATTGTATGAGGAGATAGGCTCTATCTTAGAGCATCTGTCTAAGAGCTAGTTCATGCAGTAAGTCCTGTACTTGAGAACCATTCCTGGAACAGCTCTTCCAGAAGATATGAAAGCTCAAGATACAGGAAGACTATGTATGGCTTCAATACTCCAGGAGTTTGAAGCCTAGGGAAGAGATGAAGAAATGAGATGAATAATGTAATTCAGTGTGTGGGTGTCCTGGTGTCTGCAAAATACTTACAGAGTAAGAATATCCTATTTCAAAATGCGGCAGAAGTTGCACACCTGATTTATCTGTCATGATTTCCTTTCTTTGTAATTGACATATCTGTACTAAAATGCTCAGTAAATGCTGCTTTCTTGCCCCCAACCTGCATCTGCATTGTTATTTGCAAGTTAAACATTGCTGTTTTCTCTGTGCCCTGAATGCAATATGACCAACCATCATGCTTCTGCAGCCATCATAGAATGTTCCCTCAAATCATTAGCACAGACAAAGTCTTCTATCTCTGTTTCTTTTGCTTGGCATTTTGTACACCACAGTAACATGTAACTAATATTCCTATTTCAGGGAACAACGAGGGAAACTTGGTTAAAAATGTATCAGTCTTCCAACTTGCACCTAGATTTTTGGGTAATAACATCTCACTTTTCAGAGTCATCTTTTCTAATACCATATCAATCTAAGAAAATGTTTTACCTTGTGACACCATAACAATGCTCATTTAAACAATGCAAAATGCAGTCATGCCAACCTTCCCTCCGTTGACATATATACTTAGCTATTCTGTTTTGTTTTTATCTCTTATTTACTTTTACTTAACAACCGACAAATGTCTACGAGTGACACTTTGGATTGAGGCAATTAACCATCATTTTAAACTGACAATTATATTAATATAATCTTATAACTAGTAGTAAAAGCTATTTGAAATCTTTTGAGGTCAAAATATACTAAGCGCTGTCTTGTCATTATAAACATTGTTTACTTTTACATTTAAAATATGTATGCTGAGGTATGACTATTTCTCTACTAAATATGATGCAGTATCTAGAAGGATTAGAAGATTCACATGGTATAATTCAAAGTCAACCAATTTTCTTTCTTGCCCATACCCTAGACTCGACATTTCTCTTAAGCAGAGTATAGTGCAATTAAGGAAGATGGAAAGTATTGTGAGCCTTTAGTGCCCATAAAAAATATCAAAACGAAAGGAGAAGGAGGGGGAGGAGGAAGAAAAGGAGGAGAGAGAGAGAGAGAGAGAGAGAGAGAGAGAGAGAGAGAGAGAGAGAGAGAGAGAGAAACAGCCTCCACTTTGCCTTTTAGAAACATGTCAATCAGATTCCACTGACCTGAGGAGATGTCGATTTGGCTTGTCTTGCTCTGTGTGGTGTTGATGTGGACGCTCACTTTGCTCTCCACAAGGTCAATCTCCACATTGCCTAAGTTATCTGCAAATTGACTGAAGAGCAGGAGACCACTGGGATTCCATGTCCTGAACTGGAAACTGACCGAGAACAGGTCCTGATTAAGTCTGCCAGGCACCTCCAGGTAGCTTGTAGCATTGAAGAAGACTGGTACTGTGTAGGGTTCCACACAAGAGAAACTCAGATTCCCCTAGAAGCAAACAAATGTCTATGTGAGGCTACTGAATAAGAGATGGCTATACAAATACTCAAGGAGTAATGGAGCCTGTGCCAAACTTAAGGGCTAGCATCTCGGCCTGATTCTGTGGATGCATGGATTTTGATGGAACTTCCTGTAGTGTTAGAACCAATGTGCATAGCTGAACTTTTAGTTCAGAGTGTAGCAATCAACACCTTTCAAAGGACTGACAGCTTATTAGCATGCTGTGATGGGAAGACCACATGATGGTCTTCTTCTTTCATTTTGTAATCATATTTTAAGGACTTTGATGACACTTTTACCTCTATCTCACACATATATATATGCATATATTATATAATGTAATATATATGCACCAGGAGGGTGTTAGTGTGAGAAGGCAGGGAATCTGCGGGACCATGAGCAAATTTCACTGAAATAAAAGCTACTAATGTCTTTGAGCAAATTCTTTATAAAACATTAACTTTGTAGCGATGGTAACAAAATGTTCTACTTCATGATTTTTCCTAATGCTTTCAGTCTGTGTGCATATTTTGCCACAAAATTATTCTGTGGTTGTCTACAAACAATTTACTAAAATAGTCTTGTAGATGCTTTATACTTTGTAAAATATTTTGGCTAAGCAAAGACTTTTCTAGTTTCAGCATACTTTGTAGTTAGAGTTGCCTTAGTAATGAGGCCCCCTGGTTGGTGCTCTGTAGTCTGAGTACCACACATCTCAGAACTAGCGGTGAACTAGAATTTATTTTTTAAAATTAAAATAATAGAAATGTTAATCTGACGCCTTGCTTTCTACATTTTTCCCCAAAGTCTCAATTTTTCAGAAGAGTGAAAGGATCCCTGTGACATTATATCCAAAGCTTACAAGCTTAAAAAGTGTGTGTTTGTGTCTAAGTGTGTACTAGTGTGTGTGTGTATGTGTGTGCAGTGTTTGTGTGAGAGCACTTAATATATGGACTGTTTGTGTTTGTGGGAGTGAATAGTATGAGGCATGTATGTTTGTGTGTATTTGTATACATAGTAGGTGGTATATGAGCATATAATATAGTGTTTTGTACATAGAATATGGAGTATGTGCATGTGTATGTATATTAATTGCTATGCTAGTGCATGTGCCTATATGCATATGTCATATGCGTGTCTTTATGTATTACTGTATGTGGCATACGTGTGTATGTGACTAGTACATAGTATCTTGTGTTACTATGGGATCTATGTATGTGTATGACATGTGGGTATGTATGTGCTTGTGTAAATATGGTAAATATTGTATATATTGGCCAGCAGATACATATTATGTATTATATATATATATATATGTTTAGTGGTTTGAATAAAAATGGCCCGCAGAGGTTCATATATTTGAATGAGATAATCACCAGAGAGTGTGATTGTTTGAAAGGATTAGAAAAATTGGGAGGTGTGGCCTTGTCAGAGGAAGAGTGTTACTGGGGGTGGGCTTTGAGGTTTCAATAGCCCATGCTAGGCTCAGTCTCTGTCTCTTTTCTTCTGCCTGCAGATGAAAGATGTAGCTCTCAGCTAATGTTTCAGCACCATGCTCCCACCGAGTTCCCCACTGTGATAGCTGACTAGCCTCTGAAATTGTAAACAGAGCTACAGGAAAGACCCACGATAAACATTTGTTATTATTTTGGGGGCTATCTAGCAGTACACAGAGATGCCAGCTGCTGAATAATTTTCATTATTTGACCTTCTTCAGAAATCTGAAACCAGTCCCCGCAGGACTCAGAAGAAATTCAGCATGAGCGTTTGTGACTCACTCTTTGGTTGCCCCCCAAAACAAAAGTTATCTTATTTAATCCATTATTTAACTATTACACTAATACTTCTCTTATATAACCTTAATATTCTTCTTTGACAGTTCCATGTATTATATAATTCATTCTGGTTACCTCATCACTCTCTTCCAATCTTTCTCCATCCTTGTCAGTTTGCCCTTCTTTTTATGAATCTCTGATGGACAGTTTAAAACCTCTGGACACAAAGGGTACCTGACTCAAATTCAATGTGCATTCTGAGTATGTCAGATACTCACTTTTGGCCTACATCTGTTTTATACTGTGGTACTGAACCCAATCAGGGTGAAACAGGCTAAATGTTTGTTGTTATTCAATGCCCCATAAAAAAAAATTCATGTGAATTTAAAATGGATCAATATTTTGGGCTCTTACCACATTTGATGGCTCTAATTTCTTCCTCCGGGCGAGATCAGTGATGTTGACGCCATTGTAGTTAACGCTTTCCATGCAACCCTTAAAATTCTTCCGATTATTGGAACTTGGCTTTCCAGAGAAAGGTATGCCTCCAAATGTTATCTTTGAGAAAATTTAAATGTAAATGTTTATACCTTCTTATAATAAACTATGTAAAGTTGTAAATACAATCAATGTCAGGCACCTTTATCTCAGTCAAAAAAAAAAGAGGAAACATTATATCTTGCCTACAAAATCTTTTGCTCATTACATTATGTTGTTACTGAAATGCATAATGAAATCATTAATTCCAATAATTAGATTATAACTTGACCAATAAAATCGCAAGCTTCCCTTGCAGTTTTTAAACACCAAAGGCATTTTATGAATTGCCTTGAGAACATCTTAAAAAGATTTTATCTAGTAACTTTATTTTATCAAGGAATATTAAAACTATATATTCCTATTTATCATTCAAAGACATGTTACCAATAAATGCCTCTAGTAATCTCAAGACAACCATCAATAATATAATAAACTGATAAAAATGTAACCTAAAGCAAGGATTATTGTATTTACCCTCTGTGGGCTTTGTGAAGTCTAATGGCTGCTCGAGTCAAAGGTTCATTAGAATTATTTCGTGTATAGAAAACAGCTGAAAAGTACCATTTGTGTATGGATTAGGGACTTTGTCGGGCACAGTGGCTGTAAGTGGGGCCGTCAAATTTTACCCACTTTATAAATCTTGCAGACCTTCAGGATGAGACCAACCCTTCTTAATGTCCTCCTTTGGGTATTACTATTACAGTGGGTATGTTTGCCACTATGTACATCACACCACTGTCCTCCTTTGGGTATTTCTGTTATAGTTGATATGTTTTCCCCACTGTGTACTTCTCACTAGTTACAAATTCTGTAGACTTAATACAGATGATGCAAAATTACACTTAATCCTTACTGCTCGGAGTATTCACTACTAATAGTGAATTAGTAAGTAAACTCAATGTCTAATTTTAGGTATGCTTCTTTTATGTATGCAGTTAGACAATTTCTATGAAGCAGACTTTTCCTTTACAGAGTCATCATTTTCAATTTTCTCTTACAGTTTATAATTTGAAAGCAATTGTTGAGGCCTTTTCAAGAGTGAGGGCTTTATATTTGACATAAGGCAAGGATGTGCAACATTCTAGGAGGCTCCTGAGGAAATTATGTTCCATTATTTGGTGCTATGGCATTTGAAATGCTTAATTAGTTTTAGTGAAAAAGACAAATTAATGGTGTTTTACGAAACAATGTTTTTAAAAAGGCCTCACTTAAAATAGAATTAAGTATTATTAATCATGTTCAGCTGAATATATATCACTTGCAATGAGTTCATACATGAGAGGAGAAGTTAAGAATAAATCAAAACATGCAGAATAAAATAAAGAATCCTCAAAAGGAAAAATTTAATAAAAATTATAGAAATAATTGAGAAAATATTTGAAAACCTCCAGAACCCTGACCTTGCTAGGTACTCTGAATGTGATACCAACATTGATGGCAGTAGCCACAATGCTAAAATGAAATGCTATGTAGCTGTTTCCAGTTTCTTTGCCAATTACTTTTAGGGAACTCATAGTGATCCATCCCAAGTTTTCTTTAAAAAAATATTAGTAATATTATTGCATGAATGTGTGTGTGTCTGTGTGTGTGTACATATCTGCATGCATGACACATATGTGGAGGTCAGAGGACAACTAGTGAAGATGGTTCTTTCCTTCCGTCACATGGATCCCAGAGTTGAACTCTTTTCCTCAGACTTGGCAGAAAGAGCTTTTCTTTGCCAAGTTCTCTCACTGGCTCACAAAATCTGTTTGGTGCTGGCAACATCACATTTTGAAATCATTGTTATACTTGTTTCACATTACAGATTGGTTCCTCTGTGCACACGGTTTCTTTAATCGAGGCTTCGTCTTTCCTCTGGGAGGATGACTCAAATGCACCAGAAGCTTCTTCTGCTTTCAGTAACCAGGGGTGTGTGTTCGTGGGCAATACTGTGCTGAAGCACTGCAGGTGAGAGAAGTGGGATCTTGCCCAGTTTCATTACAGAAGCAATCACACATTAGTTTGCCATGTATTTTTCTTGTCATATCATGTCATTAATTAAATGTAGTGTTGGACCACCACATTTTTAGGTATCCTAAAATTATGCTGATAAACCCTTTTTCAATTACCAGATTAAAAATCCTATTTGGGAGTTTCTTTCTTTGGTCTCAGTAAGAATACTACCACTTTTAACTCTTATTAGCCAGTTAACTGGGTATGAACTACTTAAACATTATAGCAGGTGCTGGCAGATACCTCTAGTGTACTTTCTCTATATCCTTTTTAGGATGGAGTAATGATTCTCTCCAGGTAGCTCTGTCATCCTCAAATCAACATATATAGCATTTACCAACCGCTGTGGGAGTAGAGCTCTTACAGTATTTCATTGGTAGGATGTATGTCATCCTGAGCTCATAAAGGGCGACGGAAGAGTTTTAAACCTATTTCTCTGCCTGATGGTCATGATAACCATAGGAATGCAAATGTCCTTCTTGGAGTCATTTACCACCAGGTTAAAAAAATGGAAGAGAGAAGTAGATTGCACACTGGAATGGTATTTAAATTATAGCTAATTGCAAAAGGAGATGGATCCCTTCATGTGAAAGGATAAACATGCATCTGTTATGAAAGCATATGTACAAATATGTTTCCATGTATATATATATGTATGTTTATATAAATCTTAACTATGGATACACACACACACACACACACACACACATATATATATATATATATATATATGTTTTTTTATCACATGATCTTAGGAGACATATTATCTTATTTTGTTATTATATTATGGGAATATGAATTACTCATATCACACAACCAGTAAGGGTCAGAAATATATTCAAACTCAGGCTTCCAGCTCTGCTTGAGGGTATATGGTTGATTTTCTCTGTGACTATAGTGTGTTGATAAGTATAAAAAGAGCAGTAAGAGTCACTTCCTTTATCCCATGCAGAGATGTATTACACAAAATTATAGCATCTCATTCAAAGTACTGTAAGTGGCATTTAAATGAAGAACAGATCAAGTCAAATATTGGATTACTGCCTTGTCCTTTAGTTTCCTTGATTTGGAAGAAAATAAAACATATATTCTTTCCATCTCAGGCTACCATGTAGTTAGCAGTATGACTGCTGACAGTGATTTCCCCACTTCATGGTGTAATAACACCACAGAGAAGAGCAGAGAGGGGAAATTTTGGGGTCACTTTCACACACAATAGCCATGTCAACATTGTACCTTGTCAAAGGTACAAAGTAGTACATCACTTCTCTTTGCTAATGTACATTGTCGCAAATGGAGGCAGGTGTATTCTGTTTACACCCACTCAGTACAATCTAACTCACAGCATGGAATTCACGGTGATGAGGTATTCACACTATTACAGTTTAAGAATCAGACCGGTGTCCGCTATGTTCACCGAGACCAGTTTTGACCCAGGCTTTTTCAGACCCAGGCCAGCTGGCCTTGGTGAGATCCTGAACATAGCGGACAAGGAGGACTACTGAGACCTCAAGAACAATGGCAATGGGTTTTTGATTCTACTGGACCTATTGGTTTCGTGGGAGCCTAAGCAGTTTCCTGGATGCTCACCTTACTAGACCTGGATGGAGGTGGGTGGTCCTTGGACTTCCCACAGGGCAGAGAACCCTGATTGCTTTTTGGGCTGACGAGGGAGGGGGATTTAATTGGGGGAGGGGGAGGGAAAGGGGAGGCGGCGGTGGGGAAGAGACAGAAATCTTTAATAAATAAATTAATTAATTAAAAAATAAAATAAAATAAAAATCAAAAAAAAAAAAAAAGAATCAGACTGGTGTATCCCTCCTTTTCCACTCAGTGAGAGCTTCCGAGAGCTTTAAACACACCCCTGCTGATCTTCAGTGGCCTTTGCCTCAGTCCACTCTGCAAGAACTGAAGTCAAGTAGTTTGAGGGGAGCAGAAGACAGTCTTTGTGAACATGAGAAGAATAGCTCTTTTATCCTTTATACTAGAGTTTAATTCTTCAATATGAATTTTATAAAATGTGTGTTATGTTAGATTGGAAGTTAATTTTACCATCCTGTGTGGTAGGAATCTACTTTCTCTGTTGATACAGCAAAGAGATATGGATAACAGTTCTGATACTGACTCTTACTTAATAGGCCCCAGAGTTCTTTAAATAATACATAAAGTATATTTACTACATAGTATAAAATACAAAAGTAGACACAGCCAATTTCACTATGACCCATGACAATAGCTGCTGTTCCCAAAATGAAGGGCACTAGACACTAGCTTATCAATGAGAAATAATAATTCAATTCTTATTATTTTTCAGTAAATTTATGTTTCCCCCAGTACCTCTTCTGGTAACTCTGTTACACTCATTCCAGCCAATAGATGAGACTCCCAAATATGAGACTATGTTATACACAGAACAATTTGAGACACTGTGAAATCCTAGAACAGTTGACCTCATGTAGATTGTGTTGCGTGTGCATGAATATGCACAGATTTCATCAGAAACTCAATAGGGTCTGTGACCCCAAATCTCTAATTATGGTTTTTGAAAATTGGAATTATGTTTGCCCATGGCTAATGCTTCAAGATGTCTCCTTATTCTGTGATACTTCAAAGTTTATTAATGGAAGATGAATAATTCATCTGCAAGTTCTCTATCACACTAGAGCAGTAAGTCACAAGAGATGCAGTATCAACTTGCAGGAGATTCAAATTTCTTAGACTTTCATATTCTTTCACCATTAAAAGAATTATTTTAGTTTTGAGATTATAATATAATTATATCACTTCGCCCTTCTCTGTTCTCCCTCCAAATCCTCTTATCTGTCCCACATACTTTCCTTCAAATTCACAGCTTCTATTAATAATCATTTGTTGGTGGATATTTAGGCTAAAATTTATATTTCTAAGTTAATATGTCTCCACTGACATATAGAATATATTTATAGCTAACAATTCAGGTTCTTTTTATCAATAATTTTATGATGAGCATATTTTGTATAATTAAAATTTTAAATGTAGTTGGAGGGTAATACACATATAATGTGCACATAAATTTCTGCTGCCTCAAATGTAGATTTCAAGAAACATAAAGATTCATAGAAACCTCAAAGCTTGTCCCAATGTATACTAAATCTTTCAAGGAATTACAATTCTTAGCATCTCTTGGAAACTATGTAAAACACTGCCTGTGGGGCTGGAGAATCCAATATTGGGTCTTGCCCTGTTTTGTCTCATGACTTCCTGTTGGGATAAGGTTTAGAGTAAGATATACAGTATGGAAGTCGACCAGAAAAATAACACCAGCATCAAATTAGAACCCAAATTTGAAAAAAAGTATTCAAGTATCCTAATGTTGTTCATTATCACAGTATTTATGAAAATTTTCAAATGGCTATCAAATTATTAGAATGTAAGTTTTAAGTAATTTGAACAACCTAGGCTCAGAATACTTTGGAAGAATATTAAAATCTACTAGTTCCATGAGGTAGGAAAATTTGGCAGCGTTTAGCTGAGTGACATGCCATGCTTTTTATTTTGCTTGGGTACTTGCTGCTACTGAATATGCAATGCTTTCAAATTACTCTAATTAAAAAATATTACAAAGGATTTACCCATATATACTATTAAGAGATGTGATGGACTATGTTGAATGACTCTGATAATTTACTTTAAATCTAATATATCAACTTGAATGTTATAAAATTATAACATATGCATATATACACATGGGTATATATTAGGTATCAAGGTGATCATTAAGTTTCTTAAAAGTCATATCTTTTCATATTTATTTAGGTGCATATGTCTATGGGAATTCACATGCACCATTGTGCTTGTTGAGATTAGATGACAGCTTGTTAGAGTCTACACTCTTTGCCCCTAAGCATACCGTAATTTATTCAATTTAGGGTTGAATTATTTAAAGTGCCAGGCACAACAGTATGTGCCTTTACCTTCTGAGTAATCTCATTGGACCAGAGTATTTTAAAAATATTTTGTTATTTAGAAATTAAAATGTATATTAATGGACAATTCTTTAAGATATTCCAGATTTTACTTTATTTCTTTTATGACAACTCTGTCTGAGCAAATGGTTTAGTGAAAGATCTATCAGAAGTCATGAGTATATAAATAATATAAACTAGAAGTGAAGATATTTTTATTCAATATACTACAAAAAACAAGTGAACCTTCCAGATATCACATACTGCATAGCCTCAGGAGTAATAGATGTCATAATTCATTGCCAGTTTTGATGGTTGGAACTAATGATCCCTGTGAAAAGGCTTGGTACTTAGGATGTTGGAGGTGGAAGGATACATGAATTTCTAGTAGCTGAAACCCAGGTGCAAGTCTGTTTGAGCATACTCTCCAAAGGAATTGCAGCCGAGTCCAGAGGGGACGGAGGGCACCAAGAAAACTGGGCCTTTGGAACACAAGAGAATCAATGCACATATGAAGCCATAGTGACTGAGACAGTGAGCACAGGGCTAGCACCGATGGGGTCCTAGAGCTGAAAAGAGAAGTAAACACATACGCCTATCCCTAATCCAGTTTCCTATTTCTTAATTTATATAATTAGAAATAATTCTATTCCTAATTAATAACCACTTGTAAATGATAATTTAGTTCTCCCAAAACGAAGTCTCACTGTTGAAACAAATTACTTTTAAGGGTAGCTGCATGCCTAGAAGTAGCTGGCCAACAGAAAATGCACTAAACAGTATCTCTGGAGGTTTCTTGTATCGTAATGTCATGCCAGGGATTTCCTTCATTTTTTAAGTTTTATTTTATTTTCAACTTCTCTCTTCTATTCATATATGCATTATCTCTCTTATACCCTATAGGTCCTTTTTGTGTATATTATGGCTTCCAGTTTAGTGCTTTTATAGGGTTCCTGAGTGTGCAAATGAGTGGGTCTCTGTATCTATATCTGTTTCTTGCCTTTTCTTGGACTCTTTTCCTTCTAATCATTTTGTCCTATTTCAATGTGTTATTTTTATTTTATTATTATCCCTTATAAGCCTGTTTTCTTTATATTGTTTTTAGAATATTTTATTTATTTATTCATTATGCATATAGTGTTTGACTGCATGCTAGAAGAGGGCACCACCAATGTTATTGTAGATGGTTGTCAGCAACCATGGGGTTACTGGGACTTGAAAGCAGTACTCCTGGAAGAGTACAGTGCTCGTAACCTGTCTCTATCTCTCCAGCCCCACCTGTTTGTTTTGTAATGAGAGGAAAAGGGGGAAGGGATCTGAGGGTGAAACTGGGAGAAGCAGGGGAAGGGGAAGCCATAATCAAAATATATGATGTGAGAAATAAAAGAAATTTTTAATAAAAGGGGAAATTATTCAATTAAATATATATTATATAATATGCACTACAATTACACATATAATTTGTTAAGTAAATTTAAAGATATTTGTTTTCTATAGAGAAGGAAGGGGAATGGGCTTGAACAGATATGTAATTAATGGTAAAATGATAGTAGAATATGCATTATCTCCTCCTTTATCACAATCACACATCCTCAAGTTTACCTCATAATCCAAGTCCAGGTAGTCAAACTCTCCATTGGTGCGGAAATGCTGCATGCTCCTGTCCAATGTCAGGTTAATGCTCCGTCCCTGGCGCTCAATGAGCACAGAGTGCCAGTGGTGATCATCCAGTAGGCTTCCTGATGTCACGGATGTGTGGCCATAGATGGGGCCAAGCTGGTTGCTTCCTAAGTAATGGGAGAAAAAGAGAAGTAAGACATTGTCCACATGACCCATCCTGCAAAGGGGCGTATCTTCCTTTTCCAATACACAGCTTTGTCTATTGAAGCTGGTATAGGAGAGTCAGGATTTTTACAGGAGATATAAATAAAAGCTACTGAAAGTAAGGAAATGCTTGTTCTTTTAAAAAGAGAATGCAAATGTTTTTGTACAGTGTTATGAATTCTTCTAAGTTTTGGTGGGTGGATATCTCATGGGCTCAGATGCCAGAAGTGCCGTCATGTTAGCTTGATGTTCAGATGGGAACAAGCTGGTCATTGCTCTGAGTCTGGTTGCTGACATACAAAATGTGGAGAAAAATCCTTGTTTCTTCATGGATAGTGATGAAATCAAAAATATCTGGTGATAATGATGTGTGTGTGTGTGTGTGTGTGTGTGTGTGTGTGTGTGTGTGTGTGCAGGTGTTCTTCTATATGGTAGGGAGACCAGAAAGACAAGAGGAGAAATAGAGGAATAGGTCTAAGTAGCAAGGTTGTCCTGGGTTTTATTATTGGAAACAGACTCACAGACGAAGTGTCTACTATTGACTGATGGCTCTAAAGAGTAGCAGTAGGTGTTTGAGTAGATATATTTCTACTGCTGTCATAAATCCCAGCCAGCTAATAAAACTTTGAAAGGAAACTACTTTCCAGTGAAATGGTAATGAACTCTTTTTGGCGAGGTCATAGAGCGAGCAACGTGTTTCACAAAGGTAATGTCACATCTCTATAAACCACAGTCGATTTTCAAAGGTTACTCTACGTGTTACATTAGAGAAAAGTAAGAGAAAGTGGCTCTGAAAAAAATAAATATCTTGGGCTGGAAAAAGAGTTCAATGGGTAAAAACACTTGCTCTCCAACTGACCCCCTAAGTTTGATTCCTGGGAGTCACAATATAGGAAAGATTAGACTGTTTTGATTTTCCTCTGACTTTCACACATACACTGTGATAGACATGTGCTTCCCTCCTTGTGCCCATGTGAAATACATTTTAAAAATTAAAATAAAAAATGTCTTTAGACACACCTCAAATATGGCATGTATGTACACTCAGGTATTTTACACATGCTTTTATTTGGCTCCAATTTTCTACAATGAACTTTTCCCTTCCATCCTACAGGGTCATGTGTTACAGAGTTTCAAGCCCCTGCAGCCTCAAAACAAATGCCTGTTCATGATTACAGATGAAGAACATTATGAAGAATAAACAAGGAAAATGAAATGCAAATTATTTTCTCCACTAAAAATAGTTTCATCTATTTCATTCTAGATGTTTTTCCATATACAACCACTTAATTATTCATATGTATGCTGATACATATTCAGGTATATACATATTTAATGTGAAACCTTTGATATAGTAGTTCTGCTTTTTGAGGAGGCTGGATAGTCTAGCTGCTTCTTGCTGTGCTGCAAAGTTGCCTTTTCATTGGATAAAAGAGCACATCCACTGTAGGTCACTGTAAAATTTAGATGAAATCATCCTTCACCTGACTCTGGACAGCACATTCCTTTACCACACGTCCAGTCTTTTCCACTGACAAGATTTTCATGTCTTTTGACCTACATCTAGGAATGGATACAAGTGAGTTGAACTACTACATTGAGACTTACGATACCATTTTTATCCTGAATTGTAGAATTCTCATTACCACATTTTACCATGGAAAATCTCACAGACTCTGCCTACAAGCACTTAGCCCCTGTGCAAACACCTACTTTAAGAGGTTACAAGACAGTCATCCATCGGGTTCATCTGCTATCACTAGGAAACCTATGGAAACTTTTTTCTGCTAATAGTGTTGAGTGTAATTTCTTTTCCATTCATGTTTCCAAGAGCTATTTCAAGTCTTCTGTCCATGCTGGAGGAGAAGTTACTTTACACTGATTTATTTGAGGGTTCTGTGCTCATCCCTCACTGGATTTTGTTTTTTGTTTGTTTGTTTGTTTGTTTGTTTTTTGTTTTGTTTTGTTTTCCGAGACAGGGTTTCTCTGTAACTTTGGGTCCTGTTGCCATTAATGTCCAGACCCTCACTGGATTTTATGCATTTCCCATGTGTTTCTTCTCCCTAGTGCTGAAGGGTCCCTCAGTGTCATCTTGATCAGAAGTCTATCCTTATGAAGGGAATCAGTCTGTGCCATGTTGGCCAGTCTCTTGGTGGAGAACCAAGGCCACTGGCAGCCTTCTCACTTTCCACAGCACCAAATCCATCTTTTTCAAGTTGTCCCAGCATCAAGCCAACTACAGGAAATATCCCCCAAAGCTTTCTTTACAAAAGTGATAATTCCACCATTGTCTTAGATCCGGTCTCTGGGGTTTTCCATTTGCTTTTCCCTGTGACTTTGTGTGCCAAGAGTTGTATAGATCTAACATACAACATGTGGTTGGTGGTTGTGCTAATCTTCTGGGGTCACGGCAGGAATAGTCCAGTGGTTGCCTGGACGGTAAGTAGACTATAGGCCAGGGACTCTGACTCCACATCACTCAAAGTGCCATGATGGATATTTATAGACTATAGCTGTCTTTGAATGTCATATGGCACATCTCTATAGAATTAAAACTTGCACATATATGCATACAGTCCAAACCGGTATGCACGGAAAATAATTCTTTGTTTAAAATAAACTAAAATCAAACACATTTTAGTACAACTAATACATTTCTATAAATTTTACTTTTCCTCTAAATTTTGATGTTGAAATAACATTGCAATATTTGTCTTTAGACTTAATTTTTTCTCATAGTGTCTTGTTTTTTTAAAATGCATGAGTAGAATATGAAAACTACTTCAAATATCTGAAGCTATGTGGTCAGATAATTTCCCCCCAAATATCTTTATCTGAAGAATAGGAAAAAAAGATCCATTTTTGTCACTTACCCATAAACCCTGAAAAGACATACTTTCTAATTTGACAAAAAATATCATCTTCCATTTTAATGTTTGTTGTGCTTATAGCTCATGTGACAGAGTATTTGGTACCTTTAGTGTTTAACTTTTCTGTGTTATCTTTTGTATTCAGTGCATACATATTTCTCTTTGTAGCTTGGAACTATAATAGAGCACTATGACTATTTTTTAATGAAAGGAATTAAAATTACAAACATAAAATTTACATATTTCTTGGCTTCACATACACTGTTTTAATGTAAAAAGCAGTATTTTTATAAATATGTGATTCACATTTTCATTATTTTTTATTTTTAATGTGGGTGATGTGTAGTCAAAACTATGTACTTTTGACAATTTATTATTGCCTTAAAAACCCTAATTAAATTTATGTTCCTAGACTTGATGGCAATCCTTAAAATAAGTTAACACATCCTTAGTAATATACAGAGGCTCAAGAAAAAATAGGGTAGAGAAATCCCATTGGCAAGGGCTGTCTTGAGTGTTTTAATCTTCAATTTTTTGCCTTTCTCTAGTGATGCATTTGACAAATGTGTTTTTGTTATTCATTTATTGCTAAGTTATTACTTATGTTGAATTCTTATTACAATAAACAAACTAAAAACCTTGAAGACTTCTACCTAGAACCTAGAACACTGAACCAAGCCAAAGAAAGAGGTGTTACTGCCTTGGATAGGCCATGACTCTGAATGTCATTGCCAATGCTGTGAACATTTTCTTCAGCAATATGTGAGTCTCAGTTATGTGACCAGCAAGCCAGCAAGCACAGATTCTGTCTTTTGAAAAGTAATGGGGAAAAATCACATAAGATAACAACCCTTTGGGTTGCCTCCTTCACCCATCAATATCTCATTCCTCTGTTTTTCTTTTTCGCAACTTTTATTATTTCTTAAGTAGCAAGTCTCTGAGAGTGTTTCTTCAATTTTAAGAGAGTGATCAGATGGTAACCTCCATATTAACAAAGTCTTTGTTCACCAGTATGTCTCTATGCCAGTTGACATCAAAGGTGAGCTACATAGCACTGGTTACTTCTCTTTCTTTGGCTTCTGAGGAAATACACACTCTACTTCTCCACTCTCCAATTATTGCTTAGTTTCCCCATAGTGCATTCTCCTCTGATATTGCTGTAATCTACCCAATATAAACACTTTTTGTTTATGTGACAGGCAACTCAAATGTACTGTCTTCCAACCTAAGCCCTGTAATTCCCTGCCCTCTTTTCATTTTCTATTTCTGAAAATGTCACTAACTCTTCATTTAGTGCCTGAGCCCAAATCTTAGTTATTTTTTCTTTTGTTTTTCTCTCTTTTTGGTCCTTCTTTCCTTCCTTCCTTCCTTCCTTCCTTCCTTCCTTCCTTCCTTCTTTCTTTTGTGCTTCATACACAGTTCATCGTGGGTCATGCTGAATTCACCACTAACATAATTTCTCAGATATATTTCTTTTTATCTCCTCTGATAATTTTCCATGGATGTCAGCACCATCCCTCCCCAGCAATGAAGATGTCTTCTCTGTCTCTGTGAGGACTTAGGCAGTCCTTCTCCTGTGAGAGTATCAGTGCACCTACAAGTGAGCATTATACAGCTGCTCATTTCTAACATTCAGAACCTGCAGCATCCTACAGAACCAGAACTGTCTCCATCCCCTGGACTTTTTCTCATTTTCAGAATTTCATACATGTGTCCATTACAGTTTGCTTTTTGTTCCATAAGCATGCAAGCTCTTCATGCAGTCTTCTCCTGTTGTTTTTGTGTTTTTTTTTTCCGCCATTACTTAGATCTTATCTTGAATATTGTGGCTTTTTTTTTTTTTAAGAGAGGGTTTTCCCTCATATATTCTAACATTGGTCCTATGGCTTCTTTAGGCGGCATTTACACCTGAACTCAGTATAATATATACTTACTAAGCTGATTTCCTACCACTCATAATTTGACGTCTTTTTTTTTTAATTTCTCTGGAGTATTTCACAAACGTAATGAGACACTCTCTGTTCTCTGTTGCATAATACCAGCTACTATAACATTGAACATAGTATAAGTGTTTCAAACACTATTTTATTAAATGAGCAATATTATGGGTTGAATCTAAAGTGTTCCCCAAAGAATGATGGTTAAAGCCTTGGTCCCAGCTGATGAGGTTTAGCAATATGATTAGATGATGACTTCTTTAAAGTCATAGATGGATCAGTCGACCCACTATTGAAATAATGACTTGAGAGTGATATTGAGAGGTTACAGGCAGTATGGGGTAGTTCAAAGAAATAAGTCACAGAAAGTGGACCACTGAGGCATCTGTCTTGTTTCTAATCTCTTCCTCTCTGTTTCTTGGCCCCCATGAGCACATTTGTTTCACCATGCCCTTCTTCCTTAGTGTTATACCTCACCAAAATCCCAGAGCTATGGATTGAGACATCTGGAATATAAACCAATACAATCCTTCCTCTTTTGTATTGATTTTTTATTGAGCTCTACATTTTTCTCTGCTCCTCTCTGCCTCTCCCCTCCCCTAAAACCCTCTACCAAGAATCTTTCTTCTTTTAAGTAATTTTTCAGGTATATTTTCACAGGGATAAAAAGGTGACTAAAAGAAATAGGTATACAAATGAATACTCTGCTACCATAGATGAAAATTAATTGACAATATAACATGAGATCTTAGAATTATAATGTAAAGAAATAGGTAGCATTTAAAATGCTTTGAATTTATTTATTTTATAGGTATTAGTGCTATGCCTACGTGCATGTATGTGCACCATGTACATGCCTAGTGCCAAGGAAGATCAAAAGATGTCATATGATTACCCCAGTTCCCGGGATGACACTTGTGAACTAACATGTGTGACTGGGATTTGAAACTGAGTCCCCTGTAAGAGCGGCAGGTCCTCTCAATTTCTGAGTCATCTCTCCAGTTCCTCCTTTATAAATATTTTAAATATGGAAAACATAATAGAGAATGACAACAAACCTAGGTTTAAACTGAGGACCAGCTTGGCTTTTTTCAGTTCCAACGTTATGTAATCCCCTTGCTGCCCTTCACCGTGCAAGAGTACTCCTTCACTTTCCGAGGTCTTGAATTTCAAAGCAATGACATCTTTGAGTGTTTTCATCTTCTTGTTTCTGAAGCGGTACGGTAACACAACATGGCCATCAAAGTTGATAACATCAGCCCCTGAGAGGAGAGAGAAATACCTCATTAGTCTGGTAGCTTTAGATGAGGATCCACTTCCAGCTGGTGCCTGCTCAGGAAAGTCGGAGTTAGTGAGTGCTTTCCTGAAAAATATAGATCCCAGTGTTGTCCTAAAGTGGATTGGCTGGAGAGTTTTGATAAGAATGACCATAACCATATCTATCAATATAGAATTTTATTTCAATTGCTATATTAATAATAAAAACTCATTGAATATGAATATGATTGAAATTTTTACTTGGAAATGTATAGTTTGTGGAAAAAAAGCAAAGGAAAATTAATTGATCTTTTGATAGTTTCATACCACATGTGTTGATGATATTCACCTCACCTCCCAATTCTTTCAGGTCCAACCCCATAAGATATAAGACTTTATATCTCTACTTTTTAAAAATTCATCAAGGTCAGCTAATTACATTTTAGGCACTCTTTTCCAATATGACCTCTTTGGTAGCTTCGGATATCTGTCCCAGACTGCATATTGGCCCCTTGCCTTTGGAGTGGGGAAATGTGGCACAAATGATTTAGGCTCCAATGATTAAACTCAGATATCCTGGGTTACCATTTCTGAGCTGGAAAACAACTATCCAGTCGTACTGTGACTGACTGGAGGAACTCTAATTTGAATGTAGGGGTCCCATTGACATTTTCAGAATTGGGTGAGAATGCAGATTGTGTATTATGTTTGCTCCATCATTGTTGCACCTTTCCACAGTCATTTAGTCACTTGTTCAGTGAGCGAGGGATGTGTATTATCCATGCCTGGGCAGTGGGTTTCCAGATGGTGGAATGACACTAAGGAGAATTAGCAAAATATACATCAAATATTTCTACAGCCAGCATGGGAGTTGCTACTTTTAGATATGTATTGTGAAGATACTTTCAAAATCCTGAGTCTGTTACCTTTTCATTTTTATATTTCAGAAAATTTGGTCAAACTGAATTGTTCTAGTAGCTGAAAAGCATAGTTCTGGACAAAGTCAGCCTTGAGGCTACGAGAGTTCTTCCTAAAACACTCCCACGTGAAGACAGTTGGGGAAAGAACAGGGAGTTGAAAGCTCACTGGAGAAATGTTTTCTCATTTTATGTTCTGATTTTCTAGCATGTGCTTAGTTCCAGTACTGCGGGGAGCAGTTTGACTTGTGGTAAGTAGAGTGAACCATTTGACCAGCTTTGTCCCCAACATGGTGTCAGAAGAGGTGAGGGATACTCTTACCATCCAGCCCTTTTTGATTACCACCTGTAAAGCATTTGTTCTCTACAGAGTGAACAGCAGCAACTGTTTCTAACATTATCTAAGGCTAAAGGTAAGTTTTCCATAAACTCGTCAATAGTTTTCACATGCTTTAAAAGCACGGAGGTGATGATCTCAAATTTATGCCTTTAAATCAAAGTTGAAATAATGCTGTTTTCAAAAGTTGAAAGAGGAGCTTAGTAGAAGCTTCAGTTAGTAAAGCGCTAGATATGGAAGCACATGGAAAGCTAGGAGTGGTGCGGCTAGCTTGTAATGTCAGCCCAGGCTGGGTAAAGACAGGAGAAGCCCCAAAGCTTACTCTTCAGCCAATCTTGCTGAATCTATAAACTTCAGGTTCACTAAGATCCTGTCTCCAAAACCTAAGGATGAGACATAGGAAAATTCATGACTTTGGCCTCTTACTTCCACAGGCTCAAATACACACACGCGCATATATCAGAACGTCAACACACATTCATATCGCAAACAAATACATTATTAAAGGCATATTCATTAACTGAAAGCTTCAAGAGGCAAACTTAACCATGTGCCCTGCGTTTTTGTATAATCAGCGCTGTTGTCCATAAAGAGCCCTTCATAATCATTAGACTCCTGCTCTCACCAACCGCATCCCAGAGTTTATATTAATACAGAGGGTGGGGGAACAATCATTAAGTCTTGGCTCCTGTTCACACTGTAAAGCCAATTAAACTAGATCTTAATCATCTATCCTGTCATAGCTGAACTCCAGTGGCAACATCTTCATCATCCATGATGAGAGATAAAGGCAGGAAAAAAACAGCACCCGATATTCTATTCGGATCTCAGGTTGTATTTATAAGCCCACAGTTGGGAGAAATTTCTTTTTCTTTTTTCTTTTCTTGAAAAGTGAATAAATAAAAAACCTGAGAAGGGAGTCAGTTATGACCTCTGGAGAGTAATTTTCCCCCAACTTCCTATCAGTGGCAATTGAATAATAGAGCCATCATTGTTTTATATGCCTTCTATATATATTTTTTTTTAATTTATTTATTTATTTATTAAAGATTTCTGTCTCTTCCCCACCCCCCCGCCTCCCCTTCCCCCCCCCCCCCCCCAATCAAGTCCCCCTCCCTCGTCAGCCCAAAAAGCAATCAGGGTTCCCTGCCCTGTGGGAAGTCCAAGGACCACCCTCCTCCATCCAGGTCTCGTAATGTTTCTCATTCAGATTCCAGGAAGCAAATGTCCCTTCAGCCTAGATAAAGGCAAGAAATCTCTACTTTTATATGTTTATATATGTAGAAATCTGTATGCAGTGCCAGGAACAGATTTGTACAAATGTGGATACTTTCTTGCCTCACACTTAGAACAATGGGAAGGTGTGACAGAGAAAATGGGTGTGGTTTATTGCCTCTATACAGTCCTATAATACTGATGAAAATCATGAAGAGAAGTTATTCACGTTGCCCACTCTCATTTTACCCATGATAAATCCTTAGTGGTGGGCTGAAAAACTGATAAAATGATCTTCAAGCCAGACCTCCTACATTACAAAGTCAAATCTGTTCCTCTATGAATAGCTTAAATTCTTTTGAAATATCCACATACTCTCTTGTGACGGTGAGTGGAGAGCTAGTTTGGAAATGATAAAACTCCCTGAAATGATCTGTGTATTATAATTTATACTTAAACACCTATCATAATCCTTTAAAAGAGTTTGGGATATTGTACAATAATGCAAATAACACCCACCACAGATTAGTTCTATTTCCTATGAAAAATAAATTTAAATTTCACTTGAAGTCTAATAATATATTGTGCTTATTTTAGGACAAAGCTAATTTTTTTCTATGATTTTGATTACTTATCACTCCCTAAAATTAAGAATTCTCTGCAGTGATTAAATATGTGTGGTTGAACTGTTTAAGCAATCTGAACAACAATAATGGCTATTCAAAAGTGAATGTCAAATCATAGTGTTTCCACAATTTTGCTTCTAACAATAACTCAGGGAGCTGGGAGTGTACCCAACTCATCAAATCCTTGTGCAATGAGGCCGTTCTTGTTTTGTTAATTGGGCTGAGGCTTTTTAGTCTCTGAATTTGTATAAGATGTTCTGGAGAATTTTTATCATGTAAGCACTGCATTTTATTTTAAAATATCTTGGATATATTTCTACCAAAAACATGTTCACTGTTTCAAAATTTCTTAACATATATTAAAAGTAGAATGTAAATCCTATAAATCATTTTTACAAGTAATGTTAATAATCAGTAAATTTGTCCAAATGTTAGATTTTTGAACTTATCTAACAAGATATGCATTTATCCTAAGTGTGGCATAATCTATACATTATATATATATGTATATGAGTGTAATCTATGTATGAAACTTGAATATAGTATAAAATGATATAGGTTGTTGCATGTACTCTAGAATATATAGCATTATATAAAATATATAAATATACACTGTTTATATGTATTAATATATAACAATATTTGTGTGTGAAAAAAATTAAATTTATAATCATACTAGAATTCATAATATATAAATACCAAGTCACTTCAAACATTTGAAATTAATTTCTAAACAGATTTAAAAATATAAGATGTAATTCACTAGAATATCAATTTTTGCATAAAGACACATCCCTATATTTTTTGAAATCATGTGTCAATATTTATAAATGTTGATCTACTTCATGAAATAATATGATGGACATTTTTATTCTTACTACCCTTTCATATTTATTCCTTGTGTATGTATAGGTGTGAAAGTCCACTTGGTTTGTGTGTGTGTGTGTTTGTGTGTGTGTGTGTTTGTGTGTGTGTGTGTTTGTGTGTGTGTGGTGTATGCACATAGGAGTGTGTAGATGTGTGTGCTTGTGTACATGCAGAAACTAGAGGAGCATATGCATGCTCTTCTCTTTAACTCTTGGCTTTGTTTCCTTGAGACAGGCCATCTCAATGACCTTGGAGTTAAGCTAGCAAAAAGGAAACCTCTGAAATCAGGTTTTTTCTAACTAGTCTTATAAGAACTTCGGGGGTAGAAAAATCATTGCTGATCAATGTTCAAGAAAGATGTGTTGAATATCTGGCATGTTGTCATTTGCATTTTAGTAAACTAGTATCATAAAAACTTTTGTTATATTTAGCCTAAAATTAAAGGACTGGATTGGATGACATTTCTAAAATCACCTTTTTCTTCTTTAATGGACAATTATAAGTAGACATATAGCTGCGATCATCAGATAAGTCCCAATCATCAGGAAAGTCTTTGATAATTGTAGATAAGTTCTAGGGTTATGATTGTGGGTAGGAATTAACTAGAGTAGACATGAACTCTGATGGAATCTATCTCTTGATTTTTTTCATGTGCTTGGAGCTTATTACATTTTTCAAGGCTCTTTCCATTCAGTGTAGTTGTGACTTAAGCCTAAAGAACTGAAGTGGGTTATTTTAATAGATCCTTTCAATCTGACTAGATCTAGACTAGTTGGAAAATAAACAATAAAAAAGAACTGCAATCACTTTCATGAAAACTAAAATGTAACTCTTTGTACAACTTTTCTTTGTCATTGCTTCATACCATGTCATAAACCTGGCATTGGTTAGTTGTTACTATGAGTTATGGTTTCCCCCTGCTGTGCTGCAGATCTACAGTGCTTACACAGGAGCCCCCTCAGTTCCCGGTGCACTGATGTAGGGAAGACAGGGATCTCAGCACAGTGTTCAGTTCCACAGATAGTGGAGAGGATCCTTCATTA